ATATGTTGTATATATAGGTGTTATGAAAATTGATGAAAATAATGAAAATTAAATGAAATTTGAAATTTGCATAATTTATCCGAAATTATGTTAATTGGTGTAATTATGCGCATAAATTATGCTGATTCGAGAGATAATCGTATTAATTTATGCGAGTGGGCGTGGTTATGATAATGCAGGTCGTTATGGATTATCAGGTCGAGCCTCGGTGACGAGGATTGTGTTATGAATTGGAATAACGCAATTAATCGTATGCAGTGACGCAGGCGTTGTGAGCGTGAATGAGAGAGAGTCGATTCGACTCTGCTCTTTAATTCCGTATTATCGATAAGGATACGATTACTCTCGATTGAACATTACGGATTATGTGTGTTATGGATTATGTGTGGTGATAGTGTGCTTATGATAGGTCCCCAGGATTCAGATCTCATACGCAGAACAATATTATGCAGAATTTCAGGAAGAATCACACACAAACCTTCTGCTTTAATCAATTTTATTTTCTAGCTAACTTTAATTTTTGGATAATATGAAAACTCAATCTCGGGATTTTGGAATTTCAACACAGCGTGAACATGATACCATCACGATTACGTTGTTTCACCTCGATAGCGGCACCTGTGGTTAATTCCCGACGCGTAACGCAATCAATCGGTTGTTGAGAGAGAGATTAAAACATGCGAACTATTCTATCAAACCTTAACTTTATAATATGCAAACTCGTATGCTTGAATTGTTACACAACACGGCACTTGGGCTTTGATTCGTATCCAATCCTTAATACATCCTGATATGCGAAGTTATTATGCTTGAAATCGTCAGCACAGTACCACGTTGATGTTCGTTCATTGATTCATAACGATTATGAATTTAAAGCGTTCGACTGAAATACTTCGAATTGCCTTATCAACACCACTCGATGGCCACAATGCTTCGTTACTTGAATTGTCACACAACACAGCATTCGGTCATTGATCATGCGCGGCCCTTAATGCAATTATTGTCACGTTCACAATAGGATGACTGATTATTATGCAACGCTACTCGTTGACAGGGCACTACAACCAGTATTATTCTTGGAGGCACAAATATGCGTTTCAATTCGTTATTTCATTCGTGGATACCAGCAAGATTATGCAGAAAGACAAATATTAACGAACGACTCAAGTATTCCTAATCAACTTCTCAACGCGACTCAATGGGTGGCGATGTTTCCTTTTGAGATCCTTATCTCGGGCCAATCTTTTAATTGATTGTGGCCAGACCCCTGACAGGGAACCGGTTGAACCCGCTCTCTATCCCCGCGAGCGGCGCTCCGTGGTGAGGTGCCAAGAATTAATCCTTGTCAATGGGTCAGTTGGTAATTTATGCGGTTAGAAGTACAGCCCCAGCACAATATTACAGAGAAAAATTATGAACACTCTTAAAAACGATGGATTATTCACTCGGTCGTTGCGATGTTTCCACAATCACGGATGGTTCAATGGCTTGAGGTTTTTAGGCTTTGTTAATGACCCGTGTGTGTGTGTTGAATGGTATGAGTGGTGAAAGAGTAGGCCAATGTTCGGAATCGATTCTTTGCGTCAAGCAGACGTCTGGTTTGTCGTGTAGTGGGGGGCAGTGTATCATACGTATCAGTTGATTCTTCTTTCAGTAGTTGGTTCGGACTCGACGGACGTTGGTGAACGAGTAGATGCGTTGTTGTAGCTGAGATGACCGTCTGGTAGACGGCGTTAGAAGCACGCCCGCAGCGGCGCGCTGGTGCTCCGTCGTCGGCGGTTGTAGATTGCAGGCTCACGATTCGCTCGTGGTGGCGCTGGCCGCTAACAGCGGCAGCGGGTCGCCAATCGGCGACACTCGCCAATTCGGCGAGTTGTAGAGACGTCTCCGGCGTCGGTGATGGCTGCTCTTCTGCTGAGATGAGTTGAGCGGGTCTTCTGCTGAGATGAGTAGAGATGAGTCTTCTTCTGTTGAGCTGAGTTGAGATGAGTCTTCTTCTGTTGAGCTGAGTTGAGATGAGTCTTCTTCTGTTGAGCTGCCCCCGAGGGCTGATGAGTTGGCCCCGAGGGCTGATGAGCTGGCCCCGAGGGCTGATGAGCTGATTTCAATGCTGAAACGGCTCCTTTTTATGCCAAAAATCTCTCCCCTTCTCGGCTCCCCCTCACGAGGTGGAGCTATCTTTGATCTGATCGTATGTCGGTGGGGGGGGTTCGTGTCGGTGGTGGGGGGGGGGTTCGTGTGTCAGTGTGTATGTTTGTGTGTGTGTCATTTATGACATGGTCCTGTTCGGGTCTTTCCTCAAGCCATAAACATCAAGACAACAGACACCTCGATTCATCTCGGTGGCGTCTGGTTGTCTGATCCCTCCACCCAGAGAGAGGGGCGGGTTCCCCCCCCCCCCCCTTTTCCGTTCGCGTTCCGACGCACAAAGAAATGGTTAAGATTTTTTTTAAGTTTAACATTTCACATCACAGTTGGTATCTTATCATACACAGTTATGATCCTGCTTGTGATTCATAGTATTTGATTTATTTCCAAGTGAAGATGCTCTTCCGAGCGTATGCATTTTATCACGTGCTGCAGGGAAAGACAAAGGTGGTCGGGAGAGACAAAGGTGGTCGGGAGCACCTCTTTATACTTTCGACTTATTTTCTCAAATACCATTTGGTCCCATGTTCGCCAAGACTCGTGTTTGTAACTACGTCTTCCCGACACCTCTCGGTTTTACCGAGGTTCGAATTGTTATGATGGAATTATTAAAAAGAAAAATAATTATCATCCTGAGTTTAAGAGGTCCATTTCTTGATTGTTGGAATCCATATCCCTTGGTTCTATAAGGTTCTATAATGGAATGTCGTGTAAGGTTAACACGTTGTTATTATTAATATTATTTTGCAATTTTCTTTAAAACTTTCTTTGCCTGGTTGCCGTGTGTGGGGTGGGTGTGTCTCCTCATCAAACCCGGCTGGCTTTTCCAGATGGCCCCTTGTGATAAGGTGTAATTCCTGCTTCTCCGCGCTGTGAGAGAGACAAAAGGTGGTCGGGGTTGCTTGGAATATTGTTTAAACTCTTTCGCAAGTTTGCTCGTTGTCTCATTCCTTCTCGATAACCTTTGATGTGACTCGGTATTCTTGCTCCAAGCTTTGTTTTAACAGTAAAAGTATTAAAGGTGAAAATCATTTGATAGCGAATTAATCATTGGATAATAATTCACTGATGTGTCTGGTGGCCTGTTCTTAATTGGAGTGAGCGTTAGGCTCGCTACTTTTATCTTATTCTTGTTGTTGCCTTTTAATTTTTTTGTTGTTGTTTTACTGGAAAATAAGGAAAAGAATATGTATACGATTTACCCTGTTGGCGTCTGGTGTCTGCTCTCTTGGTGTTCTGACCTCGGAGGGACCTTTCCTAAGGGGCCCATCAAACTCTTGTTCATCTGGAGATTTTCGCCGATAGCTGTTACATCCTCACCTCGAGAGTTTTATTATTTCTTTATTTCTTAATGGTCTGTTTATGACCGACATCTGGTTTTTCGTGTTTCTGGCTTACGGGTTTGATTCATTATTAAAAATATATATTGTTTGTCACGAAAGAAGGGAAAAAGAAATCTAGGTGTATGCATCCGTAAATATTCTTACGGATATTAATTGTGGAAAAAGGGCCGTATACAACACTCCCCCCCACCCTAAGTGGCAGCTGCCCCTGTGTGGCACAAGGTGGCCCTGCACCGGCCTGCACGTGGACATGAGTCTGTCGGTAGGGGGCGATCATTGACGCGCCATCTCCGTTGTGTGGTTTCTGGATAATGTTTGGAATTGCCACAATTTTGACCGTGACACCGACATGCAATGACCTGTGCGTCGTGAATGACACAACGCTATGTTTTTACATCTGCCGTGAAGCAGACTGCGCATATTGTGGTGCATGTTACTGGGGTAGCCAGGTGTGCCTGTCGGATTTGAACCTTGAACCTCTGCAATAAATAGAGAATGCGCTACCATATTCTTGGTTCTTTTGGTGAAGTCACGTAGATAGAAAACAAAAATAAAGAAAAAAACGCGTTTATTTTTATTTTTTAAATTGTCATTTTATTTTTCTTTAATATAACATTTTTTTTTATTTACGTGCCTTTACCGAAAGAACCCAAGAATATGAATTCCTGCCAGTCACGAAAGTTTCAAGGCAAAATAGGATGCACCACCAACTCGGCTCGCGTCAATCTGCGTGGAGGCGTGGGGGGGGCCTGAGAGAGTTTCTCACCGGCGCAGAACTTCCATGCAGAGGGCTCCACGCAGCTTCGTGCGGAGCGACAGGCCAGGTAGCTCCCACACAGCGTGGCGCAGCTGATTAACATTTATATTGTTGGTTCTTTCGGTAAAGTCACGTAGATAGAAAATAACAAAAACATTGGAAAATGATAAATTGATGAAAAGATGCCATTTGTCGACTGAGATGACTGTGCCCACCACAGTGTACACACACACAGTGTACACACACACAGTGTACACACACACACAGTGTACACACACACACAGTGTACACACACACAGTGTAAACACACACAGTGTACACACACAGTGTACACACACAGTGTACACAGTGTGTACACACACACATAGTGTACACAAACACACACAGTGTACAAACACACAGTGTACACACAGTGTACACACACACAGTGTACACAAACACACACAGTGTACACACACACACTGTGTACACACACACAGTGTACACACACACTGTGTACACACACACGTTGTGTACACACACAGTGTACACAAACACACACAGTGTACACACACACACAGTGTACACACAAACACACACAGTGTACACACACACAGTGTATACACAAAGTGTACACACACAGTGTACACACACACAGTGTACACACACACACAAGTGGTCTCTGTTCAAGGGAGGAAGCAATGGAAAATGAATCTAAATCAACTCAAACTTCAACCCCTCTCTGTGACGTCACCACTCACCATAACCTCATCGGCGTGAAATGCCAGAGGGATATGTACCTCGCTAGTGACGTCATGTCATTAAGGTGTTCACCCCACCCCGTCCAAGGCGCCCTTGAACGTGACGTCACCTCTGCCAGGGTCGCTGCCGTTTTCTGTTCAATTAGAATCATATTTGGGCAAGGCCACGCCCAGTGACTGGCGGCTCATTAACATAATCTATTCACGTACGGAGGCGCTCATTGTGGGAGGGGAGTATTATCGTTCTCCACAAGTGACGTCATGTCACCTCTTGCTGCCGCGTGACATCACGAGATAACAGGAAGCTGCTGCTCCGCCCGTGCACTGAAATCCGAGGTGAGAAATTCTCATCGCGGTTGTGGTGGTGGTGGTTGTTGTGGTGGTTGTTGTTGTGGTTGTTGTGGTGGTTGTTGTTTACCGAGGTAGAGCCTCGCTCTCTCTCGTAGCGATGTCAATTGAGTAGCAGCGAGCATGGAAGCGATGTCCAGGTTGCGACTTTACAGCGCGGGGCCTAGCCACGTGGGGCCTTGCCTCCTGCCCTCGCCTGATCGCGTTTGCTTCAATTATCTCGCTTAAGTTTAATTTGTCTTCAGGCGGCTCGCCACTTTGTCACTTTGTTTTACTTTTAAATATTCACGCGGTTTTTATTTATTTTTATTTTTTACACCAGGCTAAGCCCGCTTGAGCTACTGTTCCGCTTTTTGTTTTCAGAAGCGACCTGCCCACAACACAACACAAGGTGAGGCTCCTCAACAGCGTGGCGGTGTTCACTCTGGACGCGTGGCGGTGTTCACTCTGGACACGTGGCGGTGTTCACTCTGGACGCGTGGCGGTGTTCACTCTGGACGCGTGGCGGTGTTCACTCTAGACGCGTGGCGGTGTTCACTCTGGACACGTGGCGGTGTTCACTCTAGACGCGTGGCGGTGTTCACTCTAGACGCGTGGCGGTGTTCACTCTGGACGCGTGGCGGTGTTCACTCTGGACGCGTGGCGGTGTTCACTCTACTTGGTGGAGTGAGGGAGCATGAATTCTGAGCAGGTGAAGGTGGCCAGGCATGGGTCTGGACACACCACCACCTGTGAACCATGCCAGTGTGTGACAGTGGTGGAGCCAGTGGGGGTGGGGTAGGCACGTGCCCCCCAACGATCCGATCGAAATCCCTAATTTCGATAGGATCATTGGGGCTTATTAGTAACTAGCTTCACTACCCGGCTTCGCCCGGGACTTGGATTCTTGTCTTGGATACATTTCATATTCCCTTATATTTCACTGAAAAACCCTTAAAAATGTTGATGCTTGCGAGAAAGAAAAAAGCCGAAACAAATCAAGTTACCTAAATGGGATGTTTTCACTCGAGGAAATTTAACCTTAATCCACTACTACGCAAGGTCGATTTTGGCCACTCGGGAAGGGAATAATGACGTGGCGAGCTGAAAATAGTCGCGTTCACTTAGAAATTCCAAACGGCATAAGCTGTGAAAATTTCACGACGCCAGAGCTCAGCGTTGGAGAGGTTTTGCTGCTTCACACAAACAAACAGATGTAATGTTCTGCTTCATATTTAAGATAGCAGTTCTACCCGTTCTTCGCACGGAGGATATGTATTGAAACTCCGAGAAACCAATGGCTTCATTTGACCAGGAGCGAAGCGCCACCTAAAATCTCCCGGCATGCTGTTAACAGCTCTATCTATGCTGCCAAATACATCTTTCCCTGGATGTTCTTCCCTGTGTATGTATCTCTGCTGCCTTGTACCTCGTATCTGTTCACTCTGTCTATGCTGGTTTGTTCAACCCGGAGGATGACCACGAAATTTAGCAGTCTTCTGAAATTCGTGGTCTACCATGGAAGTGTCTAACTGTGTTGTTGGCCTACTGGTTTTGCATCACGTAATTTTTCTTAGGTTTTGTTGAGTTCTCGTCTCTCATCTTGTTGTATTTGCCTCCGTGCAGTTTAACGCTCTCTATGTGTTGCGTTGATGTCACCCTATGTGCTCCCTTGCTATTTGTTTTTTTACACCTGATGATGATCGCTTGTGTTGCGTTCGAAACGTCGTGATTTATTTTAATATAATTTTATTATATTTCTACATACGGGACTTTACCGAAAAAACCAATGAGTAATTTATGCATTCACGAAAGCTTCAATTCTATATTCATTGCAGAGCGCTTAACTCAGGTGTGTTGCGGGTTGACGCCACAAACTTCATGGTCATACAAAATACAAAAGTCTATTTTTATACTTTTTTCATTGTGCACGGTATGGAACCTACCCACATGCCAAATTTCAGGTGTATAGTATGTCGGGAAGTATGCTAAACATTTCGACCAGACACACACACACGTATCCACACATTTCCATTTTATATATAGGCTAGCTTTACTACCCGGCTTTGCCCGGGACTTTGATTCTTGTCTTGGATTAAAACACGGCCTTCGCGGAGTGTTGGTGGGGGGTGTGCGCGACGTCAGCAGGCACACTGCGTAACGATGCCGCATAGGGTGACATCTCAGATATGACGGCTATTTTAATACTTTGTGCATTGTGTCCAGTGTGGAAGCTACCCACATGCCAAATTTCAAGTTTGTGTTGCATGTCGGCAAGTATGCTGAACATTTCAAACAGACACACATTCACAAATTTCCCTTTTATAAATATAGATAAATCAGCATTGTGCGCCCCCCCCCCCCCCCACTGCCACCGCGTGGCATATTATTACATGCCAGGGACTCTGAGAGGACAACAGTCCGTGTTCATAATTGGCAATAAGTAACGGCAAAGCAGTTACAAGCGACTCAGAATTGTGCCCAGTTGCGTATACAGTACACGACTTCCCTGAAGGCAAACACCTTCAGCGAGCGCGATGCCTTTCACACGCGTCGAATTAAAAGCATAGCACAACTCCTTACTTAGTAACAACTCCTGACTAACAACTCCTTACTTACTAACAACTCCTGACTAACAACTCCTTACTTACTAACAACTCCTGACTAACAACTCCTTACTTAGTAACAACTCCTTACTAACAACTCCTTACTTACTAACAACTCCTGACTAACAACTCCTTACTTCCTAACAACTCCTTACTAATAACTCCTTACCAACGACTCCTTACTAACAACTCCTTACTAATATCTCCTTACTAACAACTCCTTACTTACTAACAACTCCTATCAATTTCATTGCTGAAAGGGGCTACCCCCCCCCCCTACCTGAATATCCTGGCTCTACCTCTGAGTGTGTGAAAGGGTCAAGTTTGTATTTGCAGTCAAGTCTATTAACTCTATTGAGCACGGAGGTTATATCAAAACAGTAGTTTATTTTTGTTTTCCTCTGCAACTCTTTGTAAGAATGTAGTCAGGAAGTTATCACAGCACACGTGCAGCTGAAGTCGGAACTGTTCATCCCAGCATTCAAGGACATCTGTGCCTGGCTTTCACACCTCTACGTTGCGATTGAACATTAATTTATGCATTTCTGCATAACACAAATAGTATTATTTTCAACACCCTTTGCTACGTCAGCTGAATTTAGCTTTCATAAATATTCCTTTTGAAGCAAGACATTCAAAATCATGTGCTCGGAGTTTTGGGTTAACGTTTATTTTGAAGATACGAGGGCTTCCAGGCACGTTTATGACCATTTGCCCTCTAATTGTGTGCCATAACAGCCCGTGTGATGAATTTGGGATACGTTTTCACTATATCATGAATATATGAATAAGTATAGACGTTTAAGTCACATGTGACTGTATGAATGCATTCCGCTGTGCATCGATACTGACGTGTAGATGGTGTGGATATCCTTTTTTTTGTCTGCAGCTGTCGCTTCCTCTGCAGAATTGTTCTGATGGAGCAAAGGCACTCGGCGCAGCTCGGTGCAAAAAGGCAACAATGCGACCGGTGTGCATACAGCACGGATAGTACTGCACATTTCACATGGCACCAGAGAACCCACACGGGAGAGAAACCCTTCAAGTGCAGTGTGTGTGGGAAGGCGTTTGCACGGTCACCAAATCTTCATGTACACCAGAGAACACACACGGGAGAGAAACCCTTCAAGTGCAGTGTGTGTGGGAAGGCGTTTTCACATTCACCACATCTTCATGTACACCAGAGAACACACACGGGAGAGAAACCCTTCAAGTGCAGTGTGTGTGGGAAGGCGTTTTCACAGTCACCAAGTCTTCATGCACACCAGAGAACACACACGGGAGAGAAACCATTCAAGTGCAGTATGTGTGGGAAGGCGTTTTCACAGTCACCACATCTTCATGTACACCAGAGAACACACACGGGAGAGAAACCCTTCAAGTGCAGTATGTGTGGGAAGGCGTTTTCACAGTCACCAAGTCTTCAAGTACACCTGAGAACACACACGGGAGAGAAACCCTTCAAGTGCAGTGTGTGTGGGAAGGCGTTTTCACAGTCACCACATCTTCATGTACACCAGATAACACACACGGGAGAGAAACCCTTCAAGTGCAGTATGTGTGGGAAGGCGTTTTCACAGTCACCAAGTCTTCAAGTACACCTGAGAACACACACGGGAGAGAAACCCTTCAAGTGCAGTGTGTGTGGGAAGGCGTTTTCAAAGTCACCACATCTTCATGTACACCAGAGAACACACACGGGAGAGAAACCCTTCAAGTGCAGCGTGTGTGGGAAGGCGTTTTCACATTCACCACATCTTAATGTACACCAGAGAACACACACAGGAGATAAACCCTTCAAATGCGGTGTGTGTGGGAAGGCGTTTGCACAGTCACCACATCTTCATGTACACCAGAGAACACACAAGCATCAGAAGATCCACAAGGAGTGGAATCTGAAATCAGCTTGTGAAAGTCAAAGTGCCGCAATGAGCCCATCCCTCATGAAACAAGAACCGGAAGAAAATCCCAGCTTGGACACTTTTAAAGGTATCGAGGTGAAATATGAAGAGGTGAAGGTGAAATGTGAAGAAGTGATGGTGAAGAGCGAAGAAGTGAGGGTAAAATGTGAAGATGAAGATTCAACTCCAAAATCAGACCTTCACATCGATGGAGGCAACGTGAAGCAGGAGGAGAATTCTGACTGTCAGGCAGAGCGAGGCAACTCCCAGCAGTTTGTGGAAGTGGAGGTGTGGGTGGACTTCCTCCGAGACATTACAAAGTCAAATGGAGACCCGGTAGATATGTAAGCTTGAGACGATGTCACTCCAATAGATGCACCTTTGTCACAGGCCTTTAATGACAAGAATGAGAAGTTGAACACTCAATTCCTAGGTTCAACCTGCAGGGTCAGAGCGGCCAGTCTTTGTGAACCTGTGGGTTGCGTAGATCTCTAACCATGAGCGAGAGCCAATAAGCTTCCAAGCAATCACAAGGTTCTAATAATTCAATTTATATGGTGCTTGCTTAATCGCCTCTGGCAATTCGGAGTGTTGTGTTATAGCTAGTCTCAAACACTCGAAGAGCATCCCCAAGTAGCAGCTGCCCCTGTGTGCTACAAGGTGGTGGCCCTGCACCGGCCTGCATGTGGACAAGAACCTGTCAGTAGGGGGCGATGGTTGATGTGGCATCTCAGTTGTGGAGTTTGTAGGTAATGTTTAGAATTTGATAAATTTTGACCCAGACGCCAGCATGCAATGGCCTACTCGTTTTTGAATGGCGCAATAGTATGTTGTACATACACTGTTAAGCGTATTTGTAAAAAAATAGCTTGTTAGTACGATATAACCTGATGCAGTATATTTCA